AGCTGGGAAGAAGAAGCTGGTGTGGGAGTCTGTGTGTCAGACAGGGTACTACTGTGTCTCAGTCAGTACCAACCTGATAGGTTCAGGTGTCTGTATGGTTAGCCAGAACTGATAGGTTCAGGGTCTGTGCTTCAAGTTAAGTGTTCTGTGTGAACCAAACTGTGTGTATGTATGATTGAGACTAAGCCACGTTACTGTATCTTATTCACTTGATCCTTTTATTTTTCCCTGTGTGTTATTTAATAAACCTTGTTCTTTTATTTGTTAAAAATCCATCCCTGGTCTGTGTGACTTCTTATAGGGAATGGTTGGTGGCAGCTTAATGAGACTGTGGCATATCCCGGTAGGTCTGTAAGGAGCGAACACTTTCAGATCTCCATAGGAAAACCTCATTCCTACAAATGAAGGAAATGCTGCTTCCATTCCATTCCTATCGAGTGGAAAGAAACATTCCCGCTTTCCATGAGTCACAAGGATTGTCTGCAACTTGTAAAGGTTCATGGGAGGGTGAGTTCTAATGGAGGCTACTTCCATAATTTGACCTGGCCGGTTCTTGCCAAATTATGAGAGTAGAAGTTCTTGAATTCTGAAAATCATATCACTAGTAGTAGTAGTAGCAGCAGCAGCAGCAGTTGGCTAAAACAGGGGTAGGGAACTTCTGGGTTTCCCACATGTTTCTCTTTTTCATCAGCTTTTCTGCCTGATTCTCAGGATATTTCAGAATTCTGGGGAGGGATTTTACCATATCACTAATGGGTGGCTAAAAGAGCCCTGTTTACCCTGTTGTTGTTGAACTTCTGCTACATATTTCTGTATTGCCTGACAGCAATACAAAGACTCATAATCATTCTTCAGCCACCTTGTGTCTACACTAAACACAAGAACCCTGTGCCTTGTGAGAATTTCAGTGAAATTTGAAAGCAATTTATTTTCTGTGTGGGACTTGCCCTCATCCCCCTGATGGTGAGACTGAGCTCTCCACCTTCCCAAGAGTCAGGGCGAGATTCACCTGTGGGCTGGGGTGTGGGTGGTGCAGACCTGGATGGTGCCTTAGAGCCCACACATGGCAGACTGGAGATTTAGGGAGGAGAGCAAGGAAGATGGGGAGAGCTGTTGGACAGATACTGTTGTTTGGGAAAAGTCTGAGGCCCAGGAGTTGCTGGTATTACCAGAGTGCACAACAGCTGACTGGGAAACTATCTGTTACCAGGATCCCAACTCAGGGTATTGAGAGGAGTTCTTTGTGCTGGGTACATCGAGATGAGGCAGACGTGAGGCAAGAAGGTTGGTGAACCAGTGGAGGGCCTGTCGCTGGCAGAGGAAGCAGCAGGGACGAGCTGCCCCGCAGCACGTCACCATAGCGGACACCAGTCAAGTGGCCTTCTTCCTCCTATCTCACCTCTCTCCAAACATCCTTTCTCTGGTAAGCCCAGCATGTTTGCATAGACTTTGGCCATGCCTCCAAGGAACTGTACTGCATGTATGGACGGGCTGCCACTAGTGGAAACTATCGTGGGGTACCTGAGGAAGATCCCAGGCCACACTACTCCAGGGACAGATGAGGGCTTGCATCCTTGTTGTGGCACTCTGTGCCTGGCACACCTGCAAGAGCCTCTGGAGCTGGTAGAGGAAGTGGGGTTCTGCTTGTCCCAGTGAAAGACTACTGTGGACTCATTCTGTTTATCTGGAACTGTTTGGAAGTGCAGTTAAGTCCCTGGTGCCAATAGAAATTCATAGGTTTGTTTTTGAGCCACATTAGCCCTTTAAAAGTTTGTGTTGTTCTAGTAAAAGAGCTTGTTCTTGCAATTACTTGTTGCGTCATGATGGAGGGTGCCACGAGGGGGGATTGACAATGCAATTTCTCAAAAAATATGTAAAACATTTTTGGACAGCAATAAATC